CAACAATAACAAACCTTATCCTCCATTATGTGGTGTAGAATGACCTAGGGATTCTTAGTCTAGACTTTAGTATAAATACTAGAGAATGTGAGCCGCAATGTACTAAGAAAAGTGAAAGGAATTTCAGATTGATGTAACAAGTAACGAATGCAAATATGGTTTTCTTCTTAAAAATCTTTCTCTATTTCTCACTGAAAATCGATCATGGTATCAGAGCTTCAGGTTAACACTTTGAGTCTCTGATCCAAATCCATCTTCCCTTTCATTTCTTTTTTTTTTTTCATTTTTTCTGTCCCTCAAGACATGGCAGCAGATCAAGGAACCGTGGTGCAACTTCAATCCCAGATAATTACTGTTAAGCTCACTGAAAACAATTTTCTGGTATGGAGACAACAAGTTTTAGCTGCCATCAAGGGATATGGATTGGATCAATACATCACAAGAGGAGAACCACCTCAAAGAATGATCCTAGACCCCAATGGTAATGAAACTCCAAACCCAACTCTCCCTACCTGGAATAGACAAGATCAACTAATAGTCTATTGGCTTTTATCCTCACTTTCTGAAAGCATCCTCATAACCACTGTTGGTCTTGAAACCTCATATGAAATCTGGAACAATCTTGAGATAGCCTTTGCTAGTCAGTCCAGGGCCAAAATTATGCAATATAAATTGCAACTTCAAACCCTCAAAAAGGGAAATTTACCTATGATAGAATACTTGAACAAGGTCATGGTTTGTTGTGATGGGCTAGCTGCAGCTGGGCAGAGAATCAGTGAGGATGAGCAAGTTACTCACATCCTAGCAGGGCTTGGAAGTGAATATAACCCAGTTATGGTGTCTGTGGGTGCTAGAATTGAGCCTTATAAACTGAGAGAACTACTAGAATTGAGCCTTATAAACTGAGAGACTACATGCTTTGTTGCTTAGCTTTGAAAGCAGACTAGAAACATTTGAGAACCCTCAGTTTGGCTTTGAAGGCTTTAACCCTAATGCTAACTACTCAGCCATCGGAAACTCATCTAAAAGAGGGGGTTTTGGAGGAAGAGGAAGAGCACCTCACAACTTCAATGGCAACCGAGGTGGTAGATCAAATGGAGGAAGATCAGGCCCCTTTAGAGGCAGAGGTGGTAAGATAGGAGGAAGAGCGAGGTGCCAA